CTGTGGAGATCTGTTAAGGTAGCAATGAGGGTAAGGGCAGAGTAGATAGAATTATTTGGTTGCAAGTGACAAAAGCCCAACTCATATTGGCTAAAACAAAAAAGGGGTATTACTGGGAGTAAAGCTGACTTCTGGTTTGACAACCAAGGTTCTTGAGCTATTGTTAGCTTCTGCTCTCCAACTCTCACTTTTTCTTCTTTCTGTGTTGGTCCTATGCTCAGGCACACTCCTTGTGGTGGCAATATGGCTGGTAGCAACCCAGGGAAAATGGAAACCCACTTATTCCACAACATTTTCAAAAGAGTGCTGGGCTATCTCTCAAAGGTCATTGTAGTTAACAATCCCTGGAGCTAAAGGACAAGTGGGCAGCACTGTGAACAGAAGAAGGGAATTGATGCTCAGGGCAAAATTGACAAAGTGCATCTTCAAAATTCTGCAGTGTTTTAAAAAGCCTAACAGAAATAGTCCATTTACTAATGTTAAGGACATAGAAGCTAATGAACATATCATTGTTTTTGCCTTTGTCTCAATTTATGTCAGTTCAGTTTGGAACACTGGATATCTCTTGTTGACCAGAAGCTCTTTGCCTCATAAAGAATTCAAAGGGAAATTAATTTCTGGTGTATTCCCATTTAACAGTGCTGATTCATGTTAATCCTAATTTCTATGAAATTATTTCTTTAAAATATATCTTTTTCATACACAACATATCATAAATATTTCCACTTGGTATTGGAAGGCTAGTGTATGGTCTCAGCCAATAGGAACTGAATAAACTTGAATGTACTCAATCAGCCAATAATCATTACTGACCTACACCGCAGGTGGCTCTTAGTCAACGGGCATGCCAACTGTGTTTCTGAGAAATGAGGAAATTAAGGGTTTTTGGTAACCTGTGTTTTCCCTACTGGGACCCTCTTTTCCTGCCATATATGTTGTGTCTGGAAAGCAGCTTTACCACCTACACCTGAAAGGGTATGGGAATATAATTTCTGAAGGAAGATGAAGAAACAAAGTTGAGTAACTCACTTGAAGCTTAAAATGCAAAACTTAAGAGGCCTTCAGAGAAAGGGTCCAGAGTCAAGATGTGGAAGCAATTAGGCCATTGCAGAAGTCTTTTGACTTTAGGGAGACTTGGTGAGCACACCTGAGCCCAAAGGGGAAGAACTCATAATTATAGGTAGGAGAAGCCAGGGCCAGAACAAGTCATAGCTTGTGGGCATTGGGTAATCTAGTGCCCCGGAGAACCAGAGGCTTGGATCAAGCTCTGTTGGGCCAACCTACAGCAGTTGGCTCTCCAATTTTGAGGATTTGCAAATGTTAAAGAAAAATTATAATTGCTTTATATAATCATTAGACAATGTAAAGAAGAAAAAAAAGGGAGGGCCACTTCTGCTGCTTTGCATCCTTTATCTTTTAAGGAACTCACTCTCTTTTTAGGTTTTGTTTATCCTGTGAAGTTCAATTTAATTAATCTGGAGCATCATTCTTGGCATGTGATGGGTTCCAGGTCTGAGGCAGGAATAGGGTCTAGTGAACCAGGCACTTCCTAGACATTCCTGCCCCAGGACAGACAGTGGGTTGGGACCTGCATTTGTGAAGAGGAAAGTAAGTCAGAGAGCACACTGTGGATGCGGAGAGGAAGGGCAGGGAGTCCCTGATCCCCTCCATGCTTCACACTGAGCTCTGAGTGAATGAGCTCCTGTATTTCAGTTAAATGCTGAAGCATGTGGCTCGTGTGGGCTACTGAAGTAATCCTGAGCAAGGCAGGGACTCAGGCCATATCAAGTGATAAAATCTCTATTGTTTGAATTGGGAAGAGATTTCAGAGATGATCCTTGTCAAATGTCCTCATTCCAGGCACAGGGAAATTGAGGCCCAAAGAAAAGAGAAAGATTTGCCTCCAGCTGCCAGGGTTTTGGGATGTTTGTTTCACCATCAGGACCAACCAGGAGTGCTGGTTAAAATGCTGACTCTTAGGTGCCATCTCAGACCTATGAGGTAGATGCTTTGGAAATGGCCCCAGGAATCTACATTTAGGAAGTTATCCAGATGATTCCTAGACTCTGCAAGTTTGAGAAGCACTGGTCTAAGGATCCAAAACTGGTTTGTGATCGGCTGTGCAGTAGGGTTCCTGAGTCCAGGCTCCAGGCTCTCTCTCTGACACTGGAGGACTGTAGGAGATGGTGACTGTGGAGAAAGTCAGAACCTGGAGGGTGAATGGAGAGCTAAGAAAGGTGAGGTTTTATTTCTAATTCCTTCTGCAGTTTGAGTAGGCCTGATAGCATCTTTTCAGACTAGATGTTAAGACATTGAACAAATAATTCTTGTGTACCTGTCAGCCATCATGATATTTAAGTGTATGTGCCTCGAATCCCTATTACTTTCTAAACTCCAGCTGATCAATTGACAGATGAACCTCACACAAATTTCTCTCTCTGTTTTTAAAAGTTAATAGCCTCTCTCCAGTCTCCAATCCTTTGCATGTAACAGATGAGCAGATTGGCATGCATCCTTCTATGGCTTTCACATCTCAGACAAACTTAAGTTGCTAAAAACCGCAAGAGATGATCTCTAAATCTTAAATACAGAGATGAAATGAGAAGAATCAGTTCTTTTTGCTGGTTTTAAAATTACTTAGTCTCTACTTTGCATTAAAATGTCATTTACCTCTTGTTATAAATCGGTATGTATTGTCTTATATTTCATTATGTGAAGACTTTTAGCATTTTAAGCCAGGATTCCTTTGGGATGTCCTAGGACCAATATAACTAGAGACTAATTACTAAAATTTTATTTTTTTAATTATAAAAAGTCAATAAATAGTTCATGAAGTTACTAATAAAGACTAAACAAAGGGATAAAATGGGTATTCTCTTTAAAAACTCAGCTTGTACATAATATATGTTTCTATAGAACATTTGACTGAGCTTTAAGGCAAAGGGAGCTGATACTGGCTCTGCTCTAAATATGCTGTGCAAACTTGAACAAAGCACCACCCTTCTCTGGACCTCAGTTTCCCTCTACATAGAACAAGAGGGTCAGACAGGTGATTTCGGAAGACTTTTTCAGCTCTGAAAGTTTCAGGGTAAAGTAACAAGGGGTTATGAAATGTCCCACAGTGTGGGAGGGAACAAATATGTCATGATTTTGTTCCAGTATAATCTGTTTCACATTTAGTATAGTCCAACCTGTGATGGGTCCTCTGTGGAACACAGATGACTCACTTCCTGTCCTAAATGGATCTTCTCTGAAGGGTGGAACAGATCCTTCCTTCAGATATCAAACCAGCCAAGGGGGGTCGAGTCTATGGGCCTTTGGCCAAATTCTGCATGTTCTTGATCTATGTCAAATTAAACCTGATATTTGAGTGCACACGAGAGTACACACACACACACACACACACACACACACACACACACACACAGTTAAGAACACAGCAGTTTAGAAGGTAGATGTTCCTGAAAAGTGTGCTCATCAAGTTTTCATAAACACAATCACATTTGACATTAAGTAGAGTAGTTGGCAATTGAAATGAAGATTAGGGTGAAAATTTTTATAAGGTGACAGATCTTTTTTTGTGTAATTCGGAACGCTGGAAAAGCCTAGTATATTTCCACTTCTTCCAGGGAGTCGCCCCAGACTACTGCTGACTGTTGGTGCCTTCATTTATCTGTCTCTCCACTGAATTCTACTCTACTTTAAGAACTGGACCAACATAAGAAGGTATAAAAATACACTCTTAAAGCCACAGACTCCTAAAATATTAGAGACCAAAGGACTCTTTGAAATGTCAACTCCTCATGTCACCTTTATCATCTGCTCATTCATTCATTCAACAAATATTTAGTTAATGTTTACTATGTGTTAAGCACTGTGCTAGGTTGAAGACATAGGGCAAAAACAAGGCATAAAAGATTTCTACACTCACGGAATTTATATTTTGTGTGTGTGAGGAAGGGCAAGCCATAAATAAGTAAACAAGGTGTGACAATTGGCAGGTTGATGGAATGGGGAATTACTGGTCAGGTAGGGAGAGTTACTTTAGACACGATAGGCAGAGAAGATTTCTGTAAGGATGTAACATTTAAACAAGTATCTGAAGAATGAGAAGGAGCTAATCATGGCAAATGTGTAGGGCTGGAGACAAGAAATAACTGGTAGAAATTGATGGTGAGGAAGAGCTGAGAGATTTAGAGACCAGGCTGGGGGAGAGGGTGTAAAAGGGGCTGGACTAGGGTTATTGTAACAGGAGGCTGGAATTTGGATAAGTTAAGATAAATTTTGAAGGTGAATAAACAAGGCTTGTTTCTGGATTTAAAAAGGGGGTTGAACTAGTGTGGCTCAGTGGTTGAGCATCAATCTATGAACCAGGAGGTCACAGTTTGATTCCTGGTCAGGCACATGCCCAGGTGGTAGGCTCGATTCCCATGATTCTCTCTCATCATCGATGTTTCTCTATCTCTCTCTCTCTCTCTCTCTCTCTCTCTCTCTCTCTCTCTCTTCCTTTCTGAAATCAATAAAATCATATTTTAAAAAAGGGGGGTGAGAAATAGGAAGGAATCAAGAGTAACTCCTCTTTTAACATGAGAACTGGGTGAAAGGTTATTTATTGAGATGGGAAGATTGGGGAAATACAATATAGTTTTGGAAGGAAATCCAATAAACTTATTTTGGATGTAGTGAATTTGATATTTTTATTGGACATTCAAACAGAGATTTTGAATAAGGTACTGATTCTTCTTGAAAGGCCCTCTAATTATTTCAAAAGTGTTAGCTTTATCTCTTATCTCTTGACCTAGACCAAAATGCCTCTGAAGGTAGGCATGGCTTAAATTTTATATTTATTCTGTCTTCTCCATAGAAATCAAAGTGAGAGAAAAGTAGCAAAATCTTTATATTCCCACATTCTAGAATTAGATAGACCTGCTATGTTGAGTCTGCTTGTACTGGCTCACAAGATCCAATTGTTAAAATTTCAGAAATGTCATGAGCAGTTGTTAAACCATTTTTGCATTTATTTATGGTGGGAGTATTTACACAGTGAATTTGGCAAACTCTACAAATCAAGACTTCTTTCTATAGAGAGTCTGGTTACCAGTACATCAAAGTAAGACCCGGAGTCACCAACTAAAATGACCTGTGAAGAAATGAAGATAACATTTATAAGTGATTTGTCTAGGTCTGAAGCATTTCTCCTAATCAATTATCAAAGCATGCTGGTCCCTGTCTTGCCTAAAATGAATTCCTAATTAAATCCAGAAACTTAAAGTTCTCAATCTAAAATATATATATTCAGGTTATTACAAAACATTCATTTCCCCTCTCATCCCTCTCATAAATGTTTTTAAATGTGCATAATAAAAAAGCCATGATGGACATTTTGAATTCATACAGTCTGCCTCAATATGAACCCAATTGTTCACCTCTAATTACGGAGACATGTATCCCCTCGAAAATAGTTAAGCTCTAAGATGTCAGTTGTCATTCATAATTCCAGTCCAGTTTTTTTAGATCTTATGCTTTTTCAAGAGAAGCCAGGAATCTGGGTTTTAATGAGAAACTCCCCAGCTGTTGAAAGTTGAGTTAAAGTTTTTTCAAAAAGCACCATGGACCAAACAAAACACTTTCACAAAGTTTCACTGGGCCCAAGGGCCACCAGTGTGCAACTCAATATGAAGTTCTTGTTCATGGTCATTCATCTGGGGGTGAGAGAGGGCCTTCAGAATATACCAGAAATCAACTTTCCTGTCAACCCTGCATGTGGAAGTCACATCACATTTATTTTTAACAAGAAACATTGTTTAAGTGACATATGTTATACCCTAGCATGGTGAAGCAAATCCATCACAGGTATATTTGTTTCTCTGGCGTGGTATGAGTTCCTCTAGATGCAGCAAGACTGCATCTTTTTATCTTCCAATAATGTAACACTAAAAACACAAATAGGAGCTTGCTATGCAAAGAGCCATGGAGACATTTTGCCCAGTCTATTGAAGAAACTGGTGCCCAAAGAGAAATCACTTGACCTAGTCCTCAATAGTGAATTAGTGATGATTGTTGGGACTAGAACCCAGATATTTAAATGACATATCCTAGGGCTTATACGGACCTATGGTTCTCAGGAAATATTCATTGAATTAATGAGCACATGAAACAATAATGTAAGAATGAATGTGTGAATGAGTAAGCACAATCTTAAATGATCAACTGGTTTATGGAACACAATTTAAAGTAAGAATCATGTGATTTGGGACCTGGTTTTAGTTCTTCTACTAACTACCATGTTAACTTCAGCATGTCTTTTATCCTCTCTGGTCCTTAACTTTCTTATCTATTAGTTGTCTTATCTCTCAGTGTTTAAAAAATCATAAACTAGTAGTAACAGTCAAAAATTATTGAGTATTATATTCCAACCATTGGTATAAATACATGAGTTTTGAGAATACTTATAATAGTTCTATAAAGTGAGCACTATTTTTACCACCTCTATTTTGTAGATGAAGAAACTGATGCACAATATTATAACTAATCTGGCCAAGTTCATACAGTTTGCAAGAAAACTGAATGACATTTGAAGCTAGGCATTTTATTCTGGAATTATAATAGCAATAAAAGTGCAACAAAAATAAGAGGATGGCACGGATGTATGAACACAACACTTTTGGGAAGCTCAGGGCTGTGGCACTCCTACAGCTCTTAAAAAATGATGCTCAAAGTTGAGACTTTTCCCCCCTCTGTTTGACACTATAGGATTGATGTTAAAATAACTTTGAGAATTGGATTAAGTGACCTCTGAAAGACTATTTATTTATTTGAGAGAGAGAGAAACATCAATTTTTTGTTCCACCTATTTATGCATTCATTGGTTGATTCTTCTATGTGTTTTGACTGGGGATCAAAGCCCCAAACTTGGTGTATTAGGGACAACACTCTAACCAACTGAGCTACTCGACCATGGCCTGAAGGACATTTTAGATTAATTTAGAAATCTGCCTTCTAGTTCTGTAACTTCTTTGGGTAACCTTGACAGATCCTCTCTATGTATACAATGGAGTTGAACACATTAAAAGTTCTTGCAACTCTGATAGTCAAAGGTTCTATGGAGACTTTAATAAGAAGCTAACAAGAGTCAGGATTCTTTTTAAACTAACTTAAACTAACCTAAACCAAAGAGGGAATATATTAGCTCAGTAACAAAAAAGCTGAATTGTAGCCTTGCTTTATACATGACTTTATGCAGGGTCTCCGATAACATAGGTTTTTTTTCTTTCCAGTTCTCTCCATGTATGAGTAGGATAGTCACCTAAGACTTGCACTCTATCAACTAAGTAAACCCAATGGGGAAAAACAATTCTCTAAAACCAGAAAATTCATGGAGAGGAATTGGATTGACTTGCTTTGGTCTAATATTCACCTTCATTCTGGCCTTCATCTTCATATGGGGACAAGACCCAAGACATAGGTTTGCCTCTTTGGTTATGTAGGGAGAGTCTATCTTATGCATAATACTTGGATGGGTTTTCCACTGAATAAGAACTTTCTATATGAGAAGAAAGAGAGAGGGTGTGGGTAAGCAGAAACACAGCAGTCAACTCCAACCAGCTGCACGTCCCACATAAAAGGAAGACTGACAGAATTGGTATCCTGTGTCTGAACCTTCAGCTCAGAATCACAAATTGTGCTATTGGCCCTCCGTATTAGGAATGAGTCATTGCTATATATTTCTTTTCCTCCATCTTCAGGGCCATTTGGACTCAAACAGTGACATCAATGCATATCATGGAATTGTTATTTTGTCTTATAGTTATGGTTCCTTAGAAAAATATATGCAATGATGATCTCAGCACAGGCAATAAATTAGGAAATAAATGATTAGGCTTTGAGCAATGTTTTCCAGAACTGTATTAAATTTTGAGGATCCAGCCAATAAGGCAACTTGGCTAATGCCTCTAATCTAACTCCACACCCCTAGTGTGTACTGGAGAGGGTGACCAGCCTTTTGCTTCTTTTGGCTGGCACAAGTAGTTACTTGTGCTAATCAGCAGTAGGGAAATGGGAAGAAGGCAAAGGGATAGGAAATATCTACCAGCAATATGTGATGACAAAACCTCTCCTGGGCAGTGACTCCTCTGAGACTAATGAACAGAAAAGAATTTGATCAGCCCTCCACTCAAAAACATCTACACCTACACTTTGTATACTCACAACTTGTTAGAGCTGGAAGGATGTTTAGACGTTACCTAATCCAACTCTTTTATTTCAGAGATTAAAACAAAACAAAACAAAACAGAGGCCCAGATTGAGGAAATAACTTGGTCAAGATAGTGCTGCAAAGGAGTAGCTGAACCTGAACTTAATCCTAAATTAAGTTCATTATAGATTTTCCAAGTGCTCATTCCTGTGTGGCAAGCTCCCTTTGGCTGTTTCCTCAGGGCTCTGGTAGACATTTGGAATTACGGAAGCTTTGCTGATGAAGAAACTGAATTTAATTTAATCTACACTGGAAGTTCAAGGAAGAGAAATAACAAGTGGCCATTGCAATGCCTTAGACTTAAATATTTTCCACTTTTACTTCTCTAAGCTAAAGAAAGGAAGTAATAGCTTGAGGCTTCTCAATGTTAGAAAATAAAAAAGTAATTCAAGAGTCTTTGAAAGGTGGCGAATGGATATATGTTATGTATGTTTGTGTTTAGTGAATATTGAAAGAGTGCTAAAGGAGAAATTTGGGTAAATTCTACTTGGTTGTGGGTCTTAATGGGTAATCTTGGAAAACTCATTCTCTCTGGGTATTGGTTTCCTCATCTGATTTTTAAGTTGCTGGTCAAGCTTTAGGGGGTCCAAAAAAATTTCTATGCTTTGAATGTCATTGTTATGGATAGAAAAGAAACTTTTTGGATGAAAGGTGGCTGGCCTAAAGCCAGTCTTTGCAAAATAAGTTCCCTCTTTACTAATCTGGCCCAATAAAATAAGCACAGGGCTAAGAGTCTAGGACAGTGATGGCAAACCTTTTAAGCTTGGCGTGTCAGCATTTTGAAAAACCCTAACTTAACTCTGGGGCCGTGTCACATATAGAAATTTTTTGATATTTGCAACCCTAGTAAAATTAAATTTATATTTTAATATTTATTTTATATATTTAAATGCCATTTAGCAAAGAAAAATCAACCAAAAAAATGAGTTCTCATGTCATCTCTGACACGTGTGTCATAGATTTGTCATCACTGGTCTAGGACATGGCTTTGTTTATCTTTGCTCCATGACTTTGGGCAAGTCCTTGACTTTTTCTAGGCCTTTAAAAAAGTCTCTAAGATGGGATTTACACCTTTGCATTCTTGCCTCACAAGGCTGTTACATGGAGATAAAGGATGTAGAAATGCTTTATGATATGCAGGCTCTTTTATATACAAGGGAAGGGCAAAAGTAGGTTTACAGCTGCATTGTGGCATTCTTTTGAGTTAACAGAGCTATTATAATAATCATAACCTGCATGTCTTTTTCCATATGAACAACTGCAAACCTACTTTTTCTCTTGGTGAATGAGAATAATGTAGAAACAACCTGTAGAACCAAATTTCAATGTGGCCAAGATGACACTGAAGGAGCTGTAATTTATTTTTCACAGGGTCATTTTGTTTTTCTACTAATAGTGCAAGTTGAAACAGAGCTAAATAAAATGCCCATATTTTCATTTTGCCTGAAACAGTCCTATTTGCCGTGATCGGCCTGGTGCAATTACTAATACTACATGCTATCACGTTCAAAAGTATTTCTTTTTGGCATTAAATTAAATTGTTATCCCTAAACTTAAATATCACTATATTCAACCTCTTCATTTTACATATTAGGAAATAGAGGCTCAGAGAAGAGAAATGACTTCCTAATTCACACAGAGCTTTCCCAAAGCCTGGAATTGGCAAACACTTCCTTCTACCTAAAGAAAAAAAAGGGTAGGAGAATATGAGGTAAGAGAATGTCTCCCTTTATCCATTCTCCAGCTTCTTGAAGAAATTGTTTAACAAGACCAGCCCCACTTTTCCCTTGGTTTCCTGGAAAGTGATCAGCTATAGTGCATCTGCCAGTGGCCATGGGAGATGGAGTAAACATTATAGGACCCTGGAAACGAAAGCTTTTTTTTTTCCTCTTCTGTACCCAGAAGAAAAACCCAATGGAAGAACCTCTGTCTATTAATAGTTATCCCTTATTCAGACATATTTTATTATCACTCCTAAATCACTTTCATATCCATCATCTCAACTTATCTAATTCTTACTGACTTTGGAAATGGTCTTGGAGGCACCTTATTTACATTTTGTAGCTGAGAAAAACAATATCTACAAAGACAGTTGACTTGCTTTTGGTTTCATAGTAAGTTGAGCCAGAGTTGGGAACAGAGTTTAATCTCAGATCCCCTGGCCCAGGATTCCTTCTACTTATTACCCTAGCTTCCTACAGGGTCTGCCCTTAGGCATCTTCTAGGAGAAAAATCATTATAATAAGGCCTTTTTGGTATTCAAGTAACTAAACTTCTTGGATGGAGCCCAAGGCAGACCCATTTTATATCTTGAATTTGAGTCTGTGGCAAATAGTGTTAGAACATGGCTCATGATCAACTGTGAGCTTTGTTCCACAATAATTTCTGAGAAGATGAGTATGTAGATCAAGAACAGGGTATTTCATTCTGGAGTAAGATTTTTCTGTTTTAAAATTGTTGCTAGGATCATGGGGAATAGAGTTTCACAACAGTAACTAACTGTGCTGTGCTTGCAAATCAGTGACCCAATAATTTGCAAAAATCCCCATTTCAGAGAGATTTATTCTGGTGGAGACTGAAATTCTTTATTTGGAACTTGACACATCCCAGACCCATAAGAAGTCAGCTTGACAAGAGATGCTGCTATATCCATCATCACTCTGCCTTAGGGAGGCAACTTTGTGGGTGTGAGTGCTTTGGTGGCAAGAGTCAGGGACTTAGCCATGATCCTGATTCTGTGTGTGACTCATGTGATATTAAAAAGCCACTTTTCATTTTTTTGGTTATTGGAAACTTCTTCCCAATTGATCTAATAGGAAGACATGGGCTTTAAATCAGGCAGACCAGGATTTAAATCCTATGTTCTCTACTGATTAGCTGTGTGATTTGAAGAAATTAGTTGAGCTCACTGAGCCCCATTTTCCTCAAAGGGGGATAAAAATAGTCCTGCTTTAACTCATAGAAACATAGAACTCAGAGACCAAAGGGATGGTTGCCAGGTGGGAGAGGGTGGAGGAAGGGTGAAAAAGTGAAGGGGAATATAATCAATAATCTTGTGATAAGTTTGCCTGGTAACAGATGGTCACTAGAATTAGCGGGATGATCACATTGTAAGGTGTTAACATGTCAAATCACTATATCGTACACCCAAAACTAATATAACCCATATAGGATTGTATACCAACTAATCTATCTAATAAAAGAGAAATATTGGCTAATTAGAGCAACATGCAAATTAACTGCCAGCCAAGATGGTGGCCGGCAGCCAGGCAGCTAGAAACTAACATGAGGCTTGCTTGCTTCAGTGAGGGAGGACTCCAACATTCCCCGCCTGCCTTGCCGGCCTCTGAGCTTGCAGTTTGAAACATTGTTACAAATATAGAAGCTAAACAAAACCCCAGAAACCTGCTTTCACCACCCACTATCATCAGAGCTGGAGTTGAAACAGTGTTTCGATTATAGAACCCAAACAAACCAGGTATCTGCTTTCAGCAGCCGAGGCCTAAGAGCTGGAGCCAAGCCTCAGAGCTAAAGCTGGCCCAAAATAAAAAAAAGAAAAAAAGGAGTGGTTGGGAGCTTCAGCTTCAGTCACCCCCAGCCTGAAAACAGCCCTCAGCCCCTCACCCAGACTGGCCAGGCACCCCAGTGGAGACCCCCACCCTGAAGGGTGTGTGACCAGCTGCAAATAGCCATCATCCCCTCAACCAGGCTGGCCAGGCACCCCAGTGGGGACCCCCACCCTGATCCAGGACACCCTTCAGGGCAAACCAGCTGGCCCCCCCCATGCACCAGGCCTCTACCCTATTTAGTTAAAGGGTAATATACCTCCCAGCACCGGGATCAGCGTGACAGGGGGCAGCGCCCAAACCCCCCTGATGGGCCCTGCTCTGTGAGTGACAGGGGGAGTTCCCCAAACCCCTGATTGACCCTGCTCTGTGCATGAAAGGGGGGGGCACCGCAACCTCCCCATCGACCCTGCCTTGAGTGTGACAGGGGGCGGTGCCCCAACCCCCCAATTGGCCCTACCCTGAGCGTGACTGAGGGTGACATCACAACCTCCCAATCTCCCTGCTCTGTGCATGACAGGGGGCGGCGCCCCAACTCCCCAATCGGCCCTGCTCTGAGCCCAACCAGGGGCTGCACCTAGGGAGTGGGCCTGCCCTCTGCCACCCAGGAGCAGGCCTAAGCCAGCAGGTACTATGTTTCTCTTTTATTAGATAGGATATTAGAAACAACTATATGCCAATAAAGTGGACAATATGGATTAAATGGACAAATTCCTAGA